ATCCTTCATTGATATATTGTGAGTAGCTTGATGGGTGGTTCCAGCCCCACAGTGGTCTGCAGACTTCAAAAGGGATGAAACGCTGAATGAAGAACCAAACTTTAACACGGCCCCCTGCGGAGCTCCGTCTTCTGCGATAAACAACCACACAGTGATTGTTTACAGTAACTATTGTTTCTGTTTTTATCAGAGCAACCATCGCTGTCACGGGTTGTTATCAGTCTGTTTGTGATCCGCAGCTGTGAGTCTGTCTCTGAGAACAGGATATGAAGAAAACTGCCATAATTCATTATTCAGCCTTATCTTTTAACCACATAATTAAATCATTCAAGTTAATTTAAATAATAATACATAGGAAGGGGGGGGGGGGGGGGGGGGGGTTACTTTAGTTCAGTTCACCCAGCACAGACTGTCTGGATTCTGGCTGTTTGAGCTTTAAAATGAGGGACGACATGAATGTAGGCCTTCATTTCAGTTTACACTTCTTTCAGTGTCTTTCAGAGGGTCCAGTGTTTTCAAATGTGCGTCACAGTAAAGACACCAACCCACAGGTGTTATTGAGTCCAAACACAGTTCAGAATCAGAAGAAGAAGAATCAGAATCAATGTATTGCCATTTGCAGAATACACTACATTGGGTTAAAACAGGAAACACCACAAAGCACATCCACAAACAAAATGAATAGAAAATAGCGAGGGATGCCACAGTGAGGCGCATATACAACTCTTAAAAGCATGATTAAGAAACCACAAAGGAGCTACAAAGAGAAGCAGATCTCAGAGCGCTCCATTCAGTTTTATAACCGCCTAAGAAGCTACTCATATGGCAGGGGTTCCTTCACCGCAGGGACCGATATCTTCTCCCCGAGGGAAGAAGCTGGAACAAGGACGCTCCAGGATGACCAGAGGAATCCTTTACAATCCTCAGGGCTCAAGTTGACTGACCTGAAAAGCCTGGTCCCTGAAAAATATGCCCTGCAATTCTCCCATTTTGTGAAGGCCAGTTCCCACAATGTCTATGTCGGCACAGCTGAAGTTGGCTGGATGACTATTTAAGTAAGTAAGTAGTAATCTTTATTTATATACCAACTTTTCACTGCACATCGGAGTCTCAAAGCGGTTTACAATTGTTATTTTTTTTAGGGCATTTGTCCTCTCGCTCCACAGAACTATTGGACATATTTTTAGTGGTAGGGGAAACCGGAGTACCCGGAGGAAACCTACGCAGACACGGGGAGAACATGCAAACTCCACTCAGAAAGGCCCTGGTCCAACCGGGATTCGAACCCAGGACCTTCTTGCTGAGAGGCAAGAGTGCTATCCACTCAGCCACCGTGCCGCCCGTTTAAACATGTTTATAGTTCATTTGGATTAGCAAGGCAGAGGGTACTATAACATTACACAGAGGCATGTCAGCTATACTCAATATACAGCCAATGGACGCACACAACAGGACTCCATGGACTGGGATTAGTTTTCGATGTCTGTGGATCTGCCTTCGCTCAAGCTGGAAATCTGAAAACTCAACAGCTTGTTCTTATTTAAATTTGAAGTGCGCAGGAAGGGAATTGTAGAAAATAACGCTCTCTCATGTCGCAAAAGGTGACTAACTGTGTGTGACCAGTGTGGTAAAGCCGTGGGGTATAACAAGCCTCTTACATGTCATTTGTAAATCCATCAGAGTGAGAGGAACCACAGACGGGACCAGTGTGGAGTCAAAAGCATAAATATGTCTCTGTGAAAACACACACTGGAGAAAGACCGGACAGCTAGTAAGTAAGTAAGTAAGTTTTTATTTATATACCGCCTTTTCACTGCAGATCTGAGTCTCAAAGCGGTTTACAATTGTTAATTTTGTCTCTCACTCCACACAGAGATGGGAGCGGGGCCAGTACAGGAGGCGCATGCCAGAACTATTGGACATATTTTTAGTGGTAGGGGAAACCGGAGCACCCGGAGGAAACCTACGCAGACACAGGGAGAACATGCAAACTCCACTCAGAAAGGCCCTGGTCCAACCGGGATTCGAAATGGTGTTAAATGCAGTAGGAGTGAGTTTTCTTGCCGTCAGTTGCTTGGATCATAAACAAAAGGAGACAGCTTCAGATATATGCAGCTACGATCATGAACAGTCTTCCTGAAAATGTGAGACAGGCTTTAACTCAGGTTAAAATCAGGTCTTGTGTGATTTCTTAATAATCTAACTGGGGCCTGACATCATTTGGATAATTGATTTGGATAAAACAAAATGGCAGACACAATTACGTTCATGTATAAAAGCTTTAATCGGTAAAACGTCCACATCAAATCAAAATGTACAAAAAATAGTTTAAACTTCATATAAAATGTTACAAGAGTTTTTCATTTAGTGTTTTTGGACAGACAGAGGAGCCCGTTACTCCAGCACAACCCAGCTGTCCTTATTACAGAGTTAGAAAATTACCTGAATTTAAATACATACATTCATAAATACAAAAGAAAATATTCAAGATGGTGAAACTGCTATTCTTCACAAAAGTACGAAACATTCTCGAATATTGCCGAAGAAATCTGTTACTGTGACATTGAAAGAGAATGGTTGGAGTCAAGTCAAGACCCAAAATATTTCCATAAAAAGCACATTCGGGTTTATTGTTAAGGATTTCTGCATTTTTTCGTCAACATAAAACATTGCGCGCAGCAGTAGAAGGCATGCGGTTTTAAAGAACGTGGTTTCTTTGGAGTGATTCCCCAAACTATTATGGAATCAATACTACTTTAAAAAGGCAGAAAAGGATTTGTCGTCTGTGCCAGGTTTGAGATACGAGCATTTAGATAAAAAGGGGCGGGGAGTGGAGTTTGAGCCTTAATATCAGCGTGGATGGATCTAAAAACAACTCCAGGTCTGGTTTGATTAGGAAAATAATGTAAATGGTTTAAAACTCAAAGATAATCTTGCATATGTCAGCTTTGAAGAGGAAATATTCTGCATTATTTTAGGGCAAGATTATTTACTTTGTCATTTCCTGTTTGAGAAAAGGGAATTCATATCTTTAGTAGAAAATATATGGTGAAACTTGACCAAAAAATAAAATAAAATTAAATTCTGGTGCAACTCCCCATGCTACCACCAGGGGGAGCTGTAAAATAAGTAGTTTTTATCCCATACTCAAAAATTAAATGATTACACAATTTCAAAGAATGTTTTCTAACTTGAGACATTGCCAAAACTAATCTATGGCCAATAATTTTGTTTTAAAAGACGTTAAACTGCCCCGAGTGTGACGTCACAGAGATGACAATGACATCATACTAGTACAGGATTGAGCTTTTAGACAGAAGGGGCGGAGCTACATGTTTGAGATTAGCGTGGAAGGATCTAAAAACCACCACAGGTCTGTTTTTCGCGCGGGAACAAGGTTGTGACAAGGTTAAAAGCTTGATTTTAACTGCCGATTTTGCGTGATACATCTCCATTGCCTTAATATTAAAAAGAAAAGTAAGTTGGGCCGTCGGTTGTCTAGTTTATCTTAATGAAGTAAATGCAAAAACTGGATTTATCGACCGGTTCAAAACAGACATTGCACTTTAGAATCTCATGCACTTTTGCGAGTTTCACACGATTAAAACTTGTCCTCGTTCCAGTTTAAGACTCCCAACAACATTGCTTCTAAATGTATAGATTTAGCAGCAGTTTGACCAGTTTTTCAGAGCAGTGGTTCTCAACTGGGACGATGTCGGGACCCACCCTCCATTCCACACACAACACCAACGCCACGACATAAAAAATTATTTAGTTTATAAGTATGGCTTTATATGCGTTGAATAATACTAAGAAATTCTAATCAGAAAGAATCAAGGAAGTAGATGAATTTGTCTTAGTTTCAGGGCGTGATGGGGCTAGTTTAATTGTTCAAGTTTATATATTTTGCTCAAGTATAAAACCCTGCACTTTGGACAAACCTCATAATATTACACAAAAAGGCATCGACAACAACAAGACTAGATTACAGTATTTTCTTTGCCGTGTCGTAGATTCATATTTTTTGCCTAGAAATGTCCACCTGAAAGCCATATTGTGACCCAGTCGAGAACCACGGCTCCAGACGACTCCTCTCACCCATTCCCAGTTCCTTCAAAAAGGCCAAAAAGTGCGTAAACAAACAAGCGGCCCCGTTTCACCATTACAGTACGCAAATGGCATAGGTTAAAAAGATAGCAGCGCTTTAGCAGCTAATGCATTATGTCTTTGCTTAATGTTAGCACCGTTAGCATCAGTACTTCCTGCTTTGCTCAACGTAAATGAACACACACATACGCCATTATATCCATCAGATGTAATGTTAACCGCTTTTGTGGCTAAGCTAATGCTAACGGTGGATGTCAGGTACTTTTAAATTGTGGAGCGAGAGTGAGACTTTTTGAATACAAGCACTGGTTAGCAACGCGTCCTTCTGATTGGTCGAAATTAATTCAAATCCTTGAGGCCCTTCGTCATTGGTTAAACCATTCTCCTCCAGCAAATCTTACTGGTCGAAGTTATGCCGAGGGGAGGGGCCATTTTGAATATATTACTGGTGAATAATAGTACAGTGTCCCCGAGGTCCGAAATATACATAATTTAAAAAGGAAATACAATTCAAGTTACTGACATCACCTTTAAGACAAAAATGAACCATTTTGAATCATGAAAGTTCAACCCTTGTTCTATCCTCGGGTCAAATCTGCGGAAAAAAATTATCTAAAATGTTATCTCAAGCTGAATTTTTAAGAATTTTCTTAACTTTAAAAGAACCTGGATCGTTTAGACTCATTTAGACCCTAGATATAATCATAGTTTTTGGGTTATTCTTACCCGAGGTTAGCACAAAGGTTAAACAAGCTTGGATCCTTGACTGAGATGGATGGTATGATATTGTATAAATACGTCGCACTGTGTGGATAATGCACTTTGCGTTGCCTCTTTAGCGAATGTGTTATTTTACAGCAGTTTTTACAAGTCCGACCACCGGCTCTCTCCAGTCACCCCTTGACGCTCCAGTCTCTGACCCAGGGCTCCTCCCCCTCCTCCTGGCTCCGTTCCCTTCGGAGCAGATCGCTAGCTATCGCCAGAGCTCCGCCTTTCAGAAACCTCACAAAGTTCTCCCCCACCAGCGGGCCCATGGCGTACATCCCGGGCGCCTCCGTGACCCGGTTGGTGAACGGGTCCACGTCGATGGGGTTCCGGCGGCAGGAGACCGGCTCGCTTGGGTAGACCCCGAGCGAGCGGCCGTGGTCTGGGAGGAAGGAGAGGTTGGGGTGGGAGCCGATGAGGACCAGGGCCTTGGAGACCTGGATGACAGTCTGCTGGCCCGAGTCAGACTCCAGGACGCATTTCTTGTTGGGGAGGAACTTGACCACGCGGTGTTTGGGGAAGCTCAGGTAGTTTGGGTACGAGGAGGAAGACGAGGAGGAGGAAGATGAGCCGTGCTGCTGCTGGGTCATCATCTGGTGGACCTGGGAAAGAGGACGAGAGGACGTTGAGTTTAGGTAGTAGTAGTAAGTAAGTAATCTTTATTTATATACCGCCTTTTCACTGCACATCGGAGTCTCAAAGCGGTTTACAATTGTTATTTTTGGGAGTGGGGGTCGCCAGTACAGGAGACACATTCCAGACCTATTGTACATATTTTTAGTGGTAGGGGAAACCGGAGCACCCGGAGGAAACCTACGCAGACACAGGGAGAACATGCAAACTCCACTCAGAAAGGCCCTGGTCCAACCGGGATTCGAACCCAGAACCTTCTTGCTGAGAGGCGAGAGTGCTATCCACTCAGCCACCGTTTAGGAGAGTCTAGTTCTTCCTGTAAACGAACCTTAACTGCTTTGAGATTTAAGTCATTCCGTGATAGAAATCCTGCTACAGCTGCACAATTAATCACAATCCAATATTGAGTTTTAAACCGTTCTAATTCTGGTAACGGTAATTTAGTTCAAAGGTGACATCGCTAACTTACTACTGTCTGGTATAGAAGAACCAAAAAATGTTATCAAACCAGCAGCCCCCAACATAAGCCAATGTCAGGGAATATATGTAACTACAGATATATTTTTATTTGCATTTAGATGAAAATATCTCGCATCGAAAAGGCGAGTAACATGAAACGTCCTTCGAATAGTTTGTGACTGAGCCACATCAATGTTGTTACATATTTTATCCAGCAGAGGGCGCAATATGTACAGCGTTTGATGCGTCGTTCCAACCACTTTTCTTGCTAATCTTTCTACTGGACATTAGTAGTAATCAGCAGTTTTTAATATTTAACAAATGATTCTGAAACATATGTGAAAAATCTGTATATGTTACAGGAACATGTGTAGATTTGTAAATAAATACATTTTGTTTTATTCTATCGCTGAGTATTTGGTTTTAAAGGTCGGGTCTTTTGAGCAAACATCCAGAACAGGTGAAGTCTGACTGTCACATGGGATTTGCTTTAGTTCAGTGAGTTTATGCAGTTAAAGCTGGGGTACTGAACTTTTACAACCACAAAAATTTAACTATGTAATAAAATCAATGTAACTAGTTTCCAACTGAGAACAGTTAGATCCCATCTCTAATTCCCTGTGTATTATGAATGATTCTGAATTATTAAATCAATCCTACTATTGAAGTAGGAAATTAATAATAGCAGAGTCTAAAACGCAAATAAATGAAGTCCAAAATCCGTACTCTGCAAACACTGCACAATATATTCTGAAAAAAACATGAAAAAAAACATTTATTGTAGTCCAGAAAGGACTATAAAGCGCACCTGTATATAAGCCGCACCACCTACTTTTTAAAATAAAACCAATGTCGTCCAAATAGATGCACTCCAATATAAGCAGAACTCAGAGGCACCCCCTGATTCAGCCCAAACTGCCAAAAAGTGACTCACAGGGTTCTTTTACACAAGAACGGAAAAAAATAACACAAGATTAAAACATATTGTGGTCCGATTTGTTTTATTTTGTCAAGCCGTTCTATTGAGACTAACTGTATTATGTATAATGAAACAAAAAGTTAGGTACCCGAGCTTTACGCCACACTTCAAATTGTGCTTAAGGGGATCTTCACTCTTCTTAATGTACTGTGATTATTTGGGATATTAAGGAATTGTATGATTAATTCCATCTGGTTTGTGCACTTTGTAAAGCACAGTTCAAACACAAGAGCACTCAAAAAAGCAGTTTGCGGATGAAAATATGGTCTGTACAATAAATTTAATTGTGCAATGCCCCTTTCAAATAAATAATACAATAAAATGAATTAAATTAAATTAAATTAAGAAAATAAAAATAATAAAAATAAAGTAAAATAATAAAACATAAATTAAAAAACATAAAAATAAAAATAAATATCAGTGTTTTGATGTAATGTCCCGGCGCTGGCGCTCACCTTGTGGTACTCTGGGTAGAGCAGTTTCGGCAGCTGGTTGAAGACCAGCGCCGGGTCGGTGACTGAGCGTCTGAAGGCGTGGTACACTGGCGCGCTCAGGTGGCGAGTGGCCAGTACTGCGTCTGCGGCCGTAAGACCCGCCCCCACCACCAGCACGGGCTCGGACGATTGGTCCAACTCCCCGCGGGAAATGGCGGCCTCCAGCTCCCAGAACGAGTGGCAGACGAAGGGCAGCGACTCGCCGTCCACGCCGAGCCGAGCAGGAATGTCGTGCGTCCCCGTTGCCAGGACAACGTTACGAGCCAACAACGAGAAGGGCACCTCCTCCGAGACCGCCGAGCCGTCTGCAAAAGAGCACGACACATGAGAAAATGATACTGATACAGAGATGCTGTTCATTCCACTTGTTCTGTAACCTGCGATGCAACACTGAAATTTCCCCACACATAAAGGATCTCTTAATCAGATACAGAACCCTGCTGGCCCGAAAAAACATCTACAAGAGATCATTGGTCCCGTCTGCAGTCAGTGCTCTAAACAACCGGTAGCACTGCATAAATTATGAACTGTGTGTTTTATGAATGATTCTGAATTGTGCCGTGTTGAGAGACAAATCTCTGAACAGACAATAAAGATCTACTCTATTCTATTCTATTCTATCTCTATCTTTTTGGTCAATGGGGATAATATGAAATCAATCCTACTATTGAAGTAAGAAATTAACAATAGCAGAGTCTAAAACACAAATGAAGTCCAAAATCCTTACGCTGCAAACACTGCATATTATATTCTGAAAAAAACATGTACTGTACTTTCTGGACTATAAAGCACATCTGTGTATAAGCCGCACCACCTACATTTTAAAAGAAAACCAATGTCGTCCACATACATGCACTCCAATATAAGCCGCTACATATTAGCCACGTCGCTAAAGTAGAAGCAGCTTTTAGCCTACGATATATACTTTTTAAGAGAGTGATTTCATACTTTTTTTATTATGCTAATGTCAAGTGTTTTTTGTACTCATTAATGCTGAAAAGAGATTTCATACTTGTTTCTTCTTCATGCTAGATTAAGACATTTTTATTGTATTTTAGTATAGTTATTGTTCATATATCTTGTGTTGTGTGCTTCTCATTCCTACTGTTCTGCAACTTGTGATGCAACACTGACATTTCCCCGCTGTGAGACGAATAAAGGCCTGTGCATTTCTATGTGGTCAGCTTCTGTTTGTCACTTAACTAGCAGTTTAACGACTTTATCTGCAGGTAAACAAACGGTTGAGTGGATGTGATTCGCACAACAAAAAGGAACAGAAGTTTGAGAATGAATCTAAATGAGTTTTAAGACATCTGATTGACTTGAATAGCAAGAAAGACAATGGCTGCAGGATTATGAAAACCAGAAGGTATGCTTTGTTGTCCAATGGACTCCTGCGGTCCAACGGACTCCTGCATGGACTCCTGCGGTCCAATGGACTCCTGCGGTGAGCCGGGAAACCAAAACTAACTCAATACTTACTGCTGCTAATGAAGGCGTCTGATTGGTCAATTCTTGTATAGCTCACTGCATTAACAAACAATGTCACACTATAAAACACTAGGATCATAGAGAGCACTAAACCAAAGAATTTTAAGCCCAAAGAATTGTGACAGTTGGGTATAATTTTGTTAATTCATTTCTAGTTTTAACAAGACAAAAAAACTGTAAAATGTGATAAATCATTTTGTCAGTAAAGTCATAGTTACCTCCAAGCTCCTCCCCCTCAGGGCGCTGGACTCCGGTCAGCCTCCAACATGGCTCCTCTCCGTCGGCGTGCACTCTGGTCACCGTGGTAACCGTCGTCCCGCAGGCAAAGTTCTGCTCCAGGGACTTCTGGGAAACGTAGTGCTGGTAGTACAAAGCTATCTCGGCCGGCGTGGCTCGGTCGTTACGCACATTTCTACAAAACAAGATCGCAATCGTGTCAGAAAAATTTATTTGTATATTTTGGGTCTAAAGTTACAGTATCTAATATGGTTCCACATATTATAGATACAGTCGGTAAATGGTAGCCAGGCTGGGATCATTTCACTCCAGCTAGTTGCTCCAAAAACCAGGAAGTACAATCGGCCAATCAGAGCCCATCTGTAGTTCAACAAAGAAGTAGAAAAAAAAAAAGAAAAGGCTAAAGAGGTGATGGCATTATACGTGTGCTACTGTGCCACCCAATCCACTAATTATTGTATCTAAATTAGAAGGACTTTGATGAGAAAACAGCCAAAATAAGAAGCCATAGAGAGATTGTCCGAGGATTTTTATGCCAAAAACGTTAGCTTTTGTCACGTACTCTTGTATGTCTACTAATCGAACGGGTGTATTTTGGATGATCAAGAATTTCTCTCGACCGATTGGGCTTGAAAAACTTGCATTTTACATGTGAGTCCCAAATATACATGAAAAAATACACACAGAAATGGATTTGAATAGAAAAGCTGGGACATGACAGACAAAACTGACAGTCCCAGGTAAATGACTAAAGTTTCCTCCCAAATGTATAAAAATATGAAAGAACAGGTAACCTACTGGGTTCATTGACTTTAGTAACATGAGCCAATGATTTTTTTTGTTTACAATAGAGCCATTAACGCTAGTCAGTAGAGGATAGCGTGCACTCTGGGAGGAAGTGGAAGATCATTTACATCTACCTGAGGCCATTTCATGCAAATCTCACTCCACATTGGACTTATTTGAAAGACAAATGAGGTAAACACAGACTCCCCCCAGACAGACGCCATCACAGCAGACTCGTTTTACCTGCGTTTTTCTCTGAGCCAGTCTTTGAGCTTAAGTCCCGGCAGCTCCATCCAGTTGGCCAGACTCAGAGTCAACATGGAGCCTTCCATCGCCTGAAACAAACAAAAAGTTTTAAGTAATCTTTAGTAATCTTTATTTATATACCGCCTTTTCACTGCAGATCTGAGTCTCAAAGCGGTTTACAATTGTTAATTTTTGGGCATTTATCTCTCACTCCACACAGAGATGGGAGCGGGGCCAGTACAGGAGGCGCATGCCAGACCTATTGGACATATATTTAGTGGTAGGGGAAACCGGAGTACCCGGAGGAAACCTACGCAGACACGGGGAGAACATGCAAACTCCACTCAGAAAGGCCCTGGTCTGACCGGGATTCGAACCCAGGACCTTCTTGCTGAGAGGCGAGAGTGCTATCCACTCAGCCACCGTGCCGCCCCTCAGATTCGTTCACGCCCCTCAATCCCTATTGGTGAATTTAATCTTGTCATATCAGTCTATCTTTGCATCTCACGTTTATCCAAATCAGGAGAAAATAACAGTACAAGCTGTAACAGGCCTCTTGTGATAACACGTTTAGAAGGTCGGTAGGTCTACAGAACTATAGAGATACAAGAGTTTCTTTGGCTTTTCACTTCTGTATCCAAAATGCAGGCTATAACTGTAACTAATATAGCAGCCTTCAATGAATATCCATCAGTTATTGACAAGCCATCAGGATAGTATTGTGTCAGGGCAACTGGGTAACAGTGTCCAGCAACTATCATCTGAGATAAATGTCAGATATATCTTTACTGAGAAAATAACTTGACAAAGATTGTGTGGCGTTCTGTGAAATTTATCAAGTATGTTTCTCAAAGTAATCAGATAAAAAGGTCAGCGCAGGAGACAGGAAGTGACCAACTGCGCTGAGTAAGGCCTGAGGTTGCAGTCATGTTAAAAGGCGGCCGACAAGTGTTTCTAAACAGATTTTACATACCATTTTCCACATGTAGTTCCTCTTAATGAAACTAAAGAAGCTTCCCCATTTCAGAGAAAGAGCAGCAAAAGAGCTGCTTCAGTGTTGCTCACTTTGCTATAAAACAAAATTAGACAAATGTATGTTGGAGGCCAGAAGTTGGCTGTGTTTCCAGAGGTCTCCCATCACAATACTAACCAGGCCCTGCCCTGTTTAGCTTCAGTGGTCTAACGGGATGTGGCTGTCACATGCTGGTGGCGCCACAAAGGTCACAATTAACAGCTAGCTTCACAATATTGTTTTTATTATCTTTGGGTTAGATAAAACCCAAAGGTTTAGATTTCAGGAATGCATTAATGTACTTTGTAAAACTTTGAGTTCATTTGAAAAGGCATTATACACAACTGATACATTGGTAATTTCAGAAGTGAGCCCTAACACTAGACCAATCAGGAGCCTTGTGTCCCTGAATTCGGGTAAAGCTAGCGAATAGGGTTAGCAGGAACTGAGCAGCGCCGCCTCTGATTGGCGCTTTGGTTGCTAGGTCGTTTCTATAAATTTGGCTCCAGATTTCCACCCATGGAGCCTGATTAAGTTAGTTCTGATGCGTGGGGTCAACATTACGTTACCCTGCTTTTTCTACAGTGTATGGATGATCTCACCCTCAGAGATTTGGCTAATAACCCAAAGGACAAGCGCAGATAAAACAAAGAAAATGTATGGATGTTATCTCCTAATCAGATGTTTTAAAAATACACAGCTGTTTACGATTTTCAGCACATCCTAATGCCTTTATATAAATATCATAGTACCTTAACATTGAGCTAAAGATGGCTGCCTTCATAAGAATGGTTGGTGAATGCACTTCAAAACACGGCGGTACTTACATGCCAGGCTCCCCCAGGCGGCCCCCTCCCCAGCACCAGGTGGGGGATGGCTCTCTCAGACTCGTACTGCCAGCTCAGAGGGGACGAGTGGTCCAGACCAAAGTCGCTGTCCGGCAGCAGCAGTGAGTCGAAGAGGACCGCCACAGGGTTCGAGGAGCGCCCCTCCAGCCCCTCGCACAGGTACTCCAGGTCCTGCAGACACGGGGAGAAGGTTTTTGAGAACACACTTTTCCATTTCCTCCCTTCCATGCCTTCACCGTTCATACAAAATGACCTGCGTTTTTTGATTGATTTAACCCAGCCATTCCCAAACTCAGTAACACCGAGGCCCCCTTAAAAATCTGACGGGTCTGCGTGGCCCCCCAAAATAATAACCAAGAAGACAACATTAAGAATAGGCTCTTCTGGTTATTTTATTTTGGGGAAATAGCCTCTGCTACAAACATTGTAATACAAAAAAAGTGGCAAGAGCTCTGGTGTGTGTCGTCTCTGTCTGGCGCACACCGGGGTAGTCTTGCACAGTTTTTCCAATGTGGTTTTACTGCAAATGGCAAATAAATGAATCTGAATCTGAATCTGAATCTGAAAAATGATTACAGTGGATTATTCAAGTCAAATAATGAACACAAATATTTTAATATTACAAACAAAACATTATAAATTTAACATTAAATAATTATATTATTTTTTTTATGACCTCCCGCGGCCCCCCTGCAGTACCCTCACTTTGGGAGACACTGATTTAACCCAATTCACACACACAAGACAATCGCTTCAAGTAACACACAGTGCAAATAGGGCCGGTCCCTGATTTTTCAATCTTAAAAACATATACAATAGCCATAGATAAAATCATTATAAGCAGTCCAAACCCTTCTCACGACTTCAACTTTAAAGGACAACTCACCCTCAAATCCACTTTTTTTTGCTGATAAACGGTATAAATGAGTGTCCAATAGTGTTGTCTACATATCCTGGTCATAATCTTGTCACTTTGGTGCAAATTAGTTGAAAGTTAGACTTTCTGCCTAAAACCGTCTGTGAGGCGCCATCTGCTGGCGACCTGTATTACTACATTTGAATTTTGAATCTGGCGCCAACACTGGCACAGAAGTTGGACCTGACGTCTGCAAGTTGGACCTGACGTCAGCAGCAATGTAAACGGCCCAGTCTCGTTCACGCCCCCTTTAGTCCTCCAGGCTACGCCCATTTAGAGGAAGATTTGAACAGGAAATGTGAGTAACGTAAGCTCCGAGGAGCGGGGGTGAGAACCACTTTAAGAGACCAGAGCAAACTCATGGAGAGAGGTGGCCACATAAGCATTGCCCTCTCAGTTTTTTGGATATAACAACTACGTACCAAAATAAAATCAGGTACAGGTTAGTTTAACTTGAAAGATAGAGGTGGATCCAAACATTTGAAGAAACCCTGTATTTGTGTAGTAAGTGAGTGAGTGAATATCATCTGTAAAAGTACCATTCAGTGACTTGCCGTTAATAGTTTCTGTGTAGCGTGCTCTTGCTGGTCTTTACCTGTTGCAGCAGAGACAGGTGCGGCTGCTCCCTCAGTTTGTGCTGCAGCAGAGGGTTTGGGTGAGCTGCATCCTGGGGCACGTACGGAGTGTGACCCGACAGAAGGTACGACAGGCAGATCCCCGACGGGCCGTTACCTACAGACGCACAAGTCAAATGTTAGATAATAATAACACATTTTCTTCTCTCTTGGGCATACATGAAGAAGATGACATAGTCTGGGATCGCGTCTTTAATTCAGACAGAAGACATGTTTTATTGTCGATGGTAGAGACGGCACGAACAACACGAACAACAGAATGCAAGTGTATTATACAGAGCGGAGGCATGGAGACCTCCAATCAGCAGCTGCCACAGTGCCATGTAGCTTGGCCTTCAGATAGACAAAACAAGGGAAAAGTACTGGCTTCTGCACATTGATAGAATGATTAGTTTAACTTTAACAAAAGTTGCTTAAAAGTGTTATGAAATCTCACATACATAAACAGGTTAAAGTGAGTCCAAACATACATTTTTTGCCGATTGACGAAGAGAAATGTATCCTTTACAAACTGATTCAGATTCAGCTTATTTGCCATTTTGCAGTAAAACCACATTGGAATACATGCGCAAAAGTCCCCAGTGTGCACCAGACAAGTACATAGAGAAAACAAGGTATAAAGTGGAGGAAAAAAAATGTTGATCTGAAACCAAACAAGGTAAAAATGAGTAATTACAAGGCCAATAATTCATGCTTCAGCCATCAACTGTGAAGGCACCTGTTTAAAAAGCCTGAAATTTACTCAGGCTTAAAATGAAACTTCTCAGGTCGGTTAGAAACTTACCATTCCCAGTCATAAAGATATACAGCATTAACTGATGATTTATTTGTCTATGTTCTGGTTAAAATGTACTTTAGCTCTATATAAGCAGGGGTACCCAACCTTCAAACCACACAAAAAAACGGAACTACTTAATGAAATCCATTTGAAATAATCTCTCAAAAACAGATCATTTATGGGTAATTTGGCCTTTGTCGCATCTTTTAAATCAGCGTTTCTAGATCAAAAAGTGAAAAAGAAAGGACCATCCTCAGCTCTCAGCCTTAAAAGTCAAATAGTGACTGACACGGATCTTAATAATAATACATTGTACTTTTGTAGCACTTTTTTGAGAACGTACGTAGCTGCAAGTACGCAAAAAAGAATACAGTGTTGTATGTTTTTCTAAAAAGATGGAGACCGTGTGTCGTCTGGTAATACTTCATGTGAATAAGTATTTGCACAAAATGTTAAGTATTTCTGTTATCTTTAATGAAAAATAAAATCTGTGATAATAGGTATTTTGACCATAGTGGCAAAACAATAATAAACATATTGAGAATTATATTAAAAATAAAATAATCTGCGTAGATGTGACATGTACATTTCTCCAGTGTGAGATCAAAAGTCTATCTTATCTTGAATAGAATGGAACAAATCTAAAACTAAACTTTTTTGCACTACAGGCTGCAGCGAGTCGGAGAGAACTTAAGCTAATTTAATTTACTCAACAACCGCTAACAAGCCGCGAGGTCCCAGGAGAGGGAGAAATGTGGAGAGCCCAATTCCCAGCAGGAAATGTGCCGTTAAATGATTCCATCGTTAAAAAACATGGTCCATACATCGTGAGGACATTGAGCGTGGCTGAAAGTTTGCACTGTGACATAAAAGAGAAGTTTCAAAGGTCGCAGGGCCCCGGTGTTCGGAGGTCAATCATCAAAGCAGAGTGGGTTTCGTGGTCAAACTGATACGACCTTAATCAGCTGAACTTCTGAACTGGCAGGCGGCCATTTTCACACCGGGAACTCTCCGACCTTTGGGCTCTTCAAACTCTGACAAAACCCTTACATCAGGGTTAACATGACTTTAATGTGACATAAGTTTCACTGTTATTTTCTGGTTTATTTTTCTGAAAACAAAATGCGTTTATTTAGATTGAACCAAAACTGGATCAAATATAAAGTTAAACACATTTTATGATGAACTATTTAACTTTTAATGATGTGTTATTGGGTTAAAATGTTTAAATACATTCAATTTGGTTGTTTCCTGAGAAAACAGATGTGTAACCTGCCTTCGTCGCTCATTTTCATCAATGCTGCTAGTTAATATAAAAATAAAAAAATTAGGGGCCACTAAAAATGGTCTTGCGGGCCGGATCTGGCACCCGGGCCTTGACTTTGACACCCAAATGTCAAGTGTGAAATCTTCTAGTCTCCTGCATCCTCCACGTGCAAGCACATTTTTTAGACGACAAAAACATGATTCTCTACGTTAAGAAAAGTATGGATAGATCTGACACTGGAGAAATGCACAGGTCACATTTGGAACAGATAGAATCACTCAAATTGTGCAGAAGAAAAAAGTGTGAGACATGTTAAAGGTTAAAAAAGGAACTGGGCCTTCAATTATGTTCAAGGTCTCTGCTGAAGAAATACCAAGATGTCCCTCCTCTGTCTGGTGCACACTGGGGTAGTCTCGCACAGTTTTTCCAATGTGGTTTTACTGCAAATGGCAAATAAATTCTTGCATCTTGTATCTTGAAAACTGGACATTTATCCATTTATCTTTTTGTATGTTTTGTATATTTTGGCCTACAGGGGGACAATGGGGGGGTATTCAGTACATTTTTTGATAATGTCAGGACGGAAATTGTGAAAATACAGTATTTTTTCTGAAAACTCTTAATGTTAATGAGAATTGGTACAGTCAAAAAGCAGCTAGCATAGGGCTAAAACTATTGATTTTAGTTTCCACAGACACAGATCAATCCATGTATCTTTGTATTCTATTTATTATAAGTGCATCAGCAATTAGAGACCAACCGATTGGGATTTTTTTAAACAATTACTGATCTTTCTCTGCAATGTTTGTTGTTAATAAGACATATTAAAGCTAGGAATAGAGCTTTAAAGATCTTTTTAAAGGTATTCCAATCTATTTGAGCTTCACGCCTCGTATCAATCACAGTATCTTGCCTCGAGAACCGTCCCGTGCCTCGATCTAAGAACTCTCCAACCCGTTTCCAGCTCATCCTCTTGTTTACAGATTCCTTCAAACCTATGACTATCCTCCGGCGAACAATTGCAACCATTTAACTTTGTGAGATGAGAAAATGAAAGTCCCAAACAACTCTTGTGCTGCGGTTATGAAAGCCTGGTTCCCTTAAGCAAACTCCCTCGACCAATCACAGCTCTCCCCTCGGGCTTGTTCCTGTGTCTGGGCCAATCAGGGCAGCCCCAGCATAAACAGTTTATTCGACAAGAGAAAACATCTGAAAGGCCGTATTTTTCTCACCGATAATCACCACAGGAATGATGTCCCCCGAGTCTCTGTCCTGGCTTTCCATTTTATCTGAGGAGAAAACACAGAGAAGACAGATTAGTTTAGCTATACAGGATTGAATCTTCACTCTTTTATATTCTGTGATGATGATTTTGATGTTTTGATGTTGATGAAGCATTTTGTATGAACTGTGCTGTACAAATACTCTTCCTTTGCCTCGTCTAGTTTTAATCACATATTTGAGATTGCTGTATTACACCATTTTGATTTTGAACCCTCAATCTCATCGTATTTAAAGTAGCTATATCAGTAAAGGGCCTTAATCAGTCAAAAGGCATTCATAAAACATGCTCTTTTCCAATACTTCTTTAACTGATAACTGTAGTTCAGAGATATTTGGATTTATAAATTACTTTTCCAGTCTCTAAATCTTATTGTTTTCATTTCGATGTCCCTCCCCCCACCGTTTCACCAATCAGAAAGTCTGTGATCCGGGCGCCAGAACTCACCGCGTGGAGCTAATCTCACTGGTAAAGTACCATGTGGCGCAGAACTAAAAAAGGTCTCGTTATGATTCTCAAATCATTAACGACAAAACAAGGAATAAAACCAGGATTTCTATCTTTGTGAAAAAGGTGTTGGTTATAGATTTGTTGTTGACAAAACTCTTGTCTATTCAGCTGTTATGGTCCCAGCTGGATTCGTCTGCATATCTGGCAACCTGAGTCAGGGAGAGTGGGAGAGGCTGCAGTACCACTTTTAGCCACATTTCTACATACTGCTCCTTGAATGGATTTCAGTCATATTGCGCTTCCTCTACAGCAGCCTTTGTTATTTGTCGTGGGTATTCAAATGACTACAAATTTGGTGGTTAAATTCTTTGCATGGGGCTCATGAGTGTTGGGGGAGAAAGTGTGGGAAGGACAACAAAGGGAAATTTGTCTGCGTTTAAAGACTACATTAAAAAAGCCGTCTAGAGTCACTTCTAATTTAATTGTACATAATATATCTTGCACAAAAAAGACACTTAATTTCACTTTTGAACACGTTTGCCCAATTTCTGTCCTTTGCTAGTCTACCTCTGTACATTAGAGCAGACAGATCGTGGAGGCAAAGTCATCTACAGAGAGGTCACACGTCTCCAACTATTCCATTGTCGGTTTAAAGTTCCGCAGCCTCTCAGTTGATAAGGAGACATAAGTGCGTTGTATTTGCCTGCTGTCAATGATTGATTGAAGTGTGTGCCTTTCCAGTAACTCGGCACAAAGGGATTTGGCTTCAGAGAAAAAAAAGATTACGTCAACTATTGTGATAAAATGAAGACGAAAAAAACGTATCAACTAAACACAGGACAAAGTGTATTTTAATTAGATACAATAGATCTGATTACCTTTAGCATTAAAGCATTATCTAATGTAGAGACCAACCAATCTCTAGATACCAAGACCAAGCTTTAGTATCGTTTTCTGGGGTAATCCATGTTTTTACCTGGTTACTTGTCCTCTACGGTAGTATATAAATCTGGGTCGGAGATCGTCTAGTGCTACTTTGATGCCGGTTCACGATGGGTTTCCGTCCATCTCTAAATATTTTTGGTTGCTATCATCTGCCAGTTTGGTATCAAGAGGTGCAAAATTCTATTAATTTGACAGGGACAATGGACATATGTGTGAACAAATGTGAATATGCCAGATTATAGCATTCGCAGTCCTGATGATAATGGGAGTTGATGTAGCCCGGAGGTGTTGGCCCAATGATAAATCTAGCCCTTGGGAAAATGAAGCCAAATTGTCCTGCACAAGATTCAATTCAAAGTATTCTTATAATGCCCTAAATCACAACAGTAGTTATCTCTGAGGACTTCACCAAACCATTGAATTCGCCGACACAGATCAGAGAATCAAACCGTTCAAACACAAGAAATGCAAAGTTAAAAAAACACAGTCTGTTCATCGGGCAAAGCTCAGGAACTCTAAGCCTGAACTCTGACTGGGCTGGTTTTAAACACAAACTGAAGAGATTTTTCAAAACAAACCAGTTGTGTGATCATTAATGAGATGGAGGACACCCACTTTTGTATGATGTGAATAATACCATAGAGTATAATGTGTTTTTAATTGTGTTATAAGCTCTCCTAGGGATGGACATTGCAAATTAGCCGCGACTATCAATGTTCTAGTGTTTCACATTTCCCAATAAAATAAAATCAATCAATAAATTAGTATTTGTCCATAAGGTGCAGATGACCACTGTTCATAAATGTTAATAAATGTCCATAAATGTTGTTGAATGTGTCCTGGATCACCTCTTTTTGTTAGACCCTCAGAGCAGGGTCAAAATGTTAGAAAAAATTTACAAATTTAGTTCGAGGTGAAACTTGAAGCTGTATTTTGAAAGACTTGCAAAACAGCTCAACATCTAAACATTATATTTCCACAGATTTTCTCAAGTTGAGTTTGGTTTGACTTTTTCGTAAAATATCTTTCATTAGATTAATCCTCTCATCCTGGGCCTTTGCTTGGTCCAAAATGACCACAACTCATGCGTCCCACTCAAATTTCGAAGCGAATTCTAGCCCGACCACCGTCCGTTCTGAGAAAGGGAGCATTCATTCTCACTGTTCCTATTTGTAGATCAAAAGTGCCTCAATAAAAAGGGTAGATTGTTTCATAATCCGACTTTATCCGTGTTTAAGATTCCATGGGCAGCAGCTGGATATCGCCAAGGACTTTACGGCTAAATTTGACGCAGAGGAACAGGACTCCTGAGTACAGTTATATCACAGGCCCACATTGTTTCACAAGATTTACACAAGTTTGATTTGCTAATATCAGATTTACATTAGGACCCAAAGATTAGACATTTTTGTAGCTGCAAATACTGAACCACAAAAGCTTCAAATCAATCTTATTCCATCTAAAAAAGCGGCACACCCATTGGATAAGACCTGAACAAAACATGTCTCAAATTAGCCTGGACGTACATGTAGGAGATGATCATGGACCAGAGTTTACACATGGTAAGACCAGACGTACATGTAGGAGATGACCATGGACCAGAGTTTACACATGGTAAGACCAGACGTACATGTAGGAAATGACCATGGACCAGAGTTTACACATGGTAAGACCAGGCCATTTCTCCCTATTTGGATGTTGGTAAAAAAGAAAAATATAATTCAAATGTACAAACTAAATCTGTATACATTTACTTAATATATACAAAAATAAAATATAGTGCCTGAAATCAAATTAAAAATTTTTTGATGTTTTTTAGCAGAGCCCAAGCCACAATGTTTAGCACATAAAAGTAAAATTAACAATAGTCATCTCTCGACTAAATCCTGCTTCAGTCACTAACATAAACCAGATTTTAAATAAGCGTTTATGTACTCAAAGATACAGATAAATACTGACTTTTGAAGAGTTTTAGTTGGACAGGCGTTAAACCAGGACGTGTTCTTTTGGCTCCGCTCCAAAATATTCAGTCCAAGAGAAATTGTCAATCAAGAATGTGCTCATGTCATAACTTGATTTTAAATAGTCGGAAGACATTTATCAGTTTTTAAAGTTTATGTGGTTGAAGATAAAAATAAAAAGAAGCGAGAGTAAAGAAGTTAAGCAATCTCATTCTCTGCATCATGTTTGGCCCTGGGCCCATGGATCTATTATAATAACTGGATAGGGTATTACTAGCTTGTAGCTGAATAACTCATGTGCTCGGGATTCTCGCGGTACTGCAGACTGAACCAGACTAAATTCACGTGGGCTACACAGAAATTTTCCCCATAGGACTCAATGCATATTAAAACAGCTCAACCTCAGCTGACAGAGAACCTGACAGAGAACCTGACAGAGAACCTACAGCTTTATAAAGGTCGGATTTTGTGGGGATTTTAGTATCCCTTGTAATCCTGAACTTTTTTTCTTCTTAAATCTTAAAAATTGGAGAAATTTCAATCAGGCTTCAGATCGCGTCACAGCACGGAGTCAGCTCTTCTTAAAGTGCACAACGACATTCTGCTGTCCTTGGATTCAAAGCAGCCAGTGCTTTTGATGATGCTGGACCTGACTGCGGCGTTTGACACCGTGGACCACTCAGTTCTCCTCTCCCGGCTGGCGGAGCATGTTGGTGTTCAGGGCACGGTCCTGCAGTGGTTCAGGTCCTACCTGACTGACCGGAGCTTTGTTGTGATGGTCGATGACTATTCCTCCTCCTCCACCCCGCTGTCATCTGGGGTGCCACAGGGTTCCATCCTTGGCCCGGTCCTGTTCTCACTTTACATGCTGCCGCTCGGGTCCATCATTGCCAGACATAATTTATCATTCCATCTTTATGCTGACGATGTCCAGGTTTATTTACCAGTGCTCCCTAACACTGCCACTGCCCTTGACTCCCTCCACCACTGCCTTTCGGACATTAAACAATGGCTCACGCAGAATTTCCTCCACCTTAATGAAACAAAATCCAAATTCATTATTTTTGGCTCCGGGGATGTTCCTCAGTTTCAGTCCAGGGTCGTGGGTCCAGTCCGTGATGCCGTCAGGAACCTGGGAGTTGTTTTTGACCGGGAACTGAACTTTAAACAACAAATACATGCTGTTGTCAAAGCCAGCTTTTTCCAGCTGCGCCTTTTGACCAAGGTGAAGCCCTTTCTCTCACGCCAAGACCTCGAGAAGGCAACGCACGCATTTATCAGTTCTCGGTTGGACTATTGCAACGCTCTCTACTCTGGCCTCCCACAGTCGTCACTCAACCGGTTACAGTTGGTGCAGAATGCAGCAGCCCGTCTTCTCACCGGTTCATCTAGATACAGCCACATCACTCCTGTCCTCTCCTCCCTGCACTGGCTCCCGGTCCGTTTTCGGATTGATTTTAAAATGTTAATGCTTGTTTTTAAAGCTCTTCATGGTCTCGCTCCGTTATATTTAACTGAGTTGTTGACCGTACATCGCCCCAGCAGAGCTCTCCGGTCCGCCAATCAAATGGTTCTGGATGTGCCCAGGTCCCACTACAAACAGTGGGGCGAACGTTCCTTCAGGGTTGCAGCGCCTAAACTGTGGAACAGC